ATTAAACAAGGGCCCAAAGGGGAGGTGAGAAATAGGTGGCAGGTCAGCATTAGATTGAGAATTAATTTGAGTCTGACTGCTGCTGGGTGAGGAAGAATATGACTTACATATGACCACTGGATGGGCTTAATGGATTACAGGGCACACATTTACACTGAAAGACATTTGGGTACAAAAAAATGAATGAATAAGACTCAACATGTATGGCAGATTGCATGGATTCAATTGGGGGATAGTGAGATGTATGGATGGACGAGGGGTCTGGATTTGTGTGAGAAATATTATATGAAATTTAAAAAGCTCAATAACAAAGCAATCTATAGGATCAATGCAATGCCAATCAAAATACCCATGACATTCTTCACAGAGCTTGAAAAAAGTCATCCTAACATTCATATGGAATCACAAAAGACCCCAGTTATCTAAAGCAATCTTGATCACAAATAACAATGCTGGCAGGGTCAGCACAACAGAACTCAGAATAAATCACAGAGCTATAATCATAAAACAGCATGGTACTGGCACAAAAATAGACACACAGAACTTAGAAGACCCAAATATGAGCACATGCAATTTTAGCCTCCTGATATTTGACAAAGGTGCCAAGAACACATAATGGAGGAAAGTCCCATCCAAGATATGAGCAGAGGAAAGGGCTTTCTAAAATGGACATCAGCTTCTTGGACATTAAGTCAACACACAATAAGTGGGATCTCATTAAACTTCGAAGCTTCTGCAGCAAAAGAAACAAACAAGGAAGAGGAAACACACTGAATGGGAAAAAAATCTTTACCAGCTACACATCTGAAAGAGGATTAGTGTCCAGAATATACAAGGAACTCAAAAAGTAAGAAAAAAGAAAATAAATGACTCAATAAAAGGATAGGCTATAGACCTCAACTGAGAATTCGCTAACAAAGAAACACCTTAAGAAGGTCTCAGGATCCTTAGTAGTCAGAGAAATGTAGATAAAATCCACTTTAAGATTTTGTTTTACCCCATAAGACTGGCTAAGATCAAGAGAATGAAAGATACCAAATGCTGGGGAGGATGTAGAGAAAGGGAAATGCGTATTCACTGCTAGTGAAAATGTAAACTCGTGCAACCACTATGGAGAACATTGTGGAGAACCCTCAAAAAACTAGAAATGAGCCTACCATATGATCCAATTAAAACAGTCCTCAGCTATACCCCAAACTCATCATACTGTAGAGATGCCTGTGCATCCATGTTTGTTGCTGTTCTCTACACAAGGGCTAGAAATGGAAACAATCTAAATGTTCCTCAACTGACAAATGGGTAATGAAAATGTGGTGCATTTACACAATGGAGTTCTACTCAGTAGTAAGAAAAGATGACATTATGAAATTTGCAGGGAAATGAATGAAGCTAGAGAGTATTACTAAGTAAAGTAACACAAATGGTGAAAAGCAGGTGACATATGTTCTCCCTCACTTGCAGGTTGAAGCACCAGTCCTTTATATATGAATACACATTCTGATAGAACACAGGGAGCCAGGAAAATGGAAAGGATACACAGAGGTAAAGGAAAAGAAAGAAACAGAGAGGTGGATAGTAGGGAATAGATATCACCAGGGGGCATGTGGGGAAAGTGGGAGTGTTCATCTTGGAGGAGAGGAGGTAGGGACATGCAAAGGGCCACAATTTGGGGGAGGAAGGAAATTCAGGGGAGGTGAGATGGAAGGATGTAGATGTTATTGGGGGGAAGGTGGGGATGATGGAGGTGCAGGGACTAAGAAAGGAGAAGGGTGTTCTGTTGGGAGGAAAAAGAGTAAAATGAGTGAACTTCAGGGGGCTAGGGAACCCACAGGGAAATGTGAGGCCCTGAAAACCCATAAGAAAGGCAAATATAGTGTCTAAACATTAGTGCATATGTATACCAAGCGGCTGTTTGGGAAGGAGCACAATGCCAGACAGATGAGAATTCCCTTAGAGTGGTGAGAGTGATCCAGGGTACTCCCAAAATAACACAGGCTATTGACAAAGTTCCTGGCTAACTTCCAGGACTAGTTGATAAGACCCTACTGCTGAATAGGACATACTTTGTATATAGGACTTCCACCTGAAGTTTAGTTCTCATAATACTAGATGATCATATGTAAACTTCTAAGGAAGAAAATCAATAAATGGTTCAATGAAACCCTGAAGCCTAATAACCATAACAACTGGCAAGCAAACTACCTCTTCTGGTGCAGTAGTGGCACAGTTATCTGGGGGGTAATCAATAACTATCTAATTAGTTCTAAAGCTCTCTCAATGGGCATGAACTCCTGGGTGGCACTGTAAACTCAGCCAAATCACGTGGCTGGAAGGACATAGCTCCTAGAACACACCGTATCTCTGTGATATCTCTGGACAAACGAAATTTCTTACCATATGCTAAATATAGATCTTTCTGTTTACAGACAGGCATGTCATAAACTACTCATCAGAGAAGCTTCTTTCTGAACAGATGGAAACTACTTCAGAATTTCACAACTTCTCACAGAGAATACATGTCTGAGAGAGGCCCAGTTCTAGGAGACACATCTACAGTTGAACCTCTACATCTGAGGTTCATGGAACATAGTGGAACGAGGTTTAGGTTGAAGACTAATGCATCCCTCAACTCTCACCAGTGATGCTTCTTTATACAATAGAGTGTGATACGCCCTGGAGGCTACAGATGTCCAAATTTTAAAGAATAAGAGAATACAGAGTCTGATTCACTGATAGGACTCCTGTATTAGTCCTCACCCAACCACGGGTCAGAGGCTATTGTGGAAGAGGAAGTGGAAAGATTGTAATAGTCATTTTTATTAAGGCCTTATTGAGTCAAGTTAGTGTCCCAAAATGTCCCCCAGTATAAATTCATCCACTGAGGTCTAGTCAACCTACCTAGAGTTCCTCCCTTTAAGAAGATCAGCTCTTCCTCCCACATCAGTGTTCAGCTTCCAATAGTTCTTCAACTAAGATTTCTTGCTATGTGTAAAATATGGATCCTTATATTTACAGACAAATATCCCAGTCACTACTTAGTGAAAAAGCTTCTTTTGCATCAGATGGAGATTATTACAGTGTTCTACAACTGGTCATATGAAGATATTGTCTATGAATTTCCCAAGCTTAAGTGGCATAACTGCAATGAAACCTCCATACCTAAGTCTCACAGAACATAGTGGAACCAGAGGTGAAGAGAAAATTAATGCATCTCTCAACTCTAATCAATGAAACTCCTTCATGCACTGAGGGCCTGGAACAGAAAAGGACACAAATGGTCAAAGTAATAGTCTGGGTCCTTGAACAGAATTCCTAAATTAAACCTCTCCCAGCCAGGGCTCAGGGACCATTGTGGAAGAGGGTGTGGAAGGATTCTAATAACCAGGGGTGTTGGTGCATGAGTATATAGAAAAATAGAGTCGTACAGGCTCCTGTGACCTTCCTCATATGACCCTACAGCAATGGTGTCAGCATATGCAAGACCCATGCAAACTCAAGCAGATGAAACCTAGCACAGAATTGTGGAAATGGACAGCACACCCAGTCTTAGTCGAAGACTTTGTGACATTTAGTTTTATCAACCAAATGCACAATTCAAATTATTATTGTCTTTCAGTGAAAACATGAGGTTATGATATCATGAATTTCACATGGGAATAGTATACAAAAGTTAAGAAAGATGTATAGTTTAGTGTGTCCACGTCTTATTCCATTCTCAGTTCATTTTTCTTTAGTGTCAAATAGCAGAAGTCAATATCATTTCTAGAGAAATTCATAATCCCTAAACATTTCTAGTGTCTTCTGTGAGAGAATTACAAGAACTTTCATTTTTCTTATTATTTTGCTTTGTAAATTCCTTCCCTAATTGAGTTTTCACTACACGTCACAACTGCATATCCTGAAGTTGTCCTTTCATTTCTGATCCTCACAAACATGTATACATTTTCCACTATGCTCTCTATTCTTCACAGATGGTAAGTTCCAGCCAACAATATAAACAATGGAGAGGAATTACACCAGCTAACACTCCACAGAACAACACAGAACAAAAGAGCAAATTGTGGTTTCAATTTTCATTGACTTATATAGATACGTTCTATATATTAATTTGTGTGCTTTTAGGTCTGGTCTATGAGATTCATTTACTTCAATAGATCTGTACTCTGAAAAATCTTTTCCCAACTTCAAATAACCTTTTCTGAACTACATTATAAAAACTCATTCTTTGATCCCAAAGAAAGAATAATCAAATTTTCTGAGAAAAAAATTAAAAATATGACTGCCCTTATATGAATACATGT